GTCTCTAAAATCACTTTTTTATGCTCTTTCCGAATATCGTATCGGAATTTCAAAAAAAATACATACAGAGTGTTGTTTTCTAGACTTGCACAAAAAATTTACAATTTTTGCAGTCCGGACCTGGATTTTTTTGCTGTCATACATGCATACATGAAGTATCGTGAGTGCATTAACCCTACCAAATATGAACCCATTATTCCATTCCCTACGAAAGTTTTGACATAAAGCAGTTTTGACCAAAAATCATAAATCACCCTGTACCTCAATAAAGAATGGCCAAGAAGTTATTTCTATAGGCGATCCTAGTTGCACTAGATGTCCTCTATCTCCCATCAAGCCATGTCCCTCTCGTGATGCAACACCCTGTATATTACATTATTCAATTTATGACAAATTCAAGTCTTTGACAGGTATACAGTAGTTTATGTTATGTATTTTTTTTTATGATAATTATGTACATTTAGACAATACATCGGAAACATATTGTGTGCCTAATAGTGTTTTTGCAGTTTTTCGTGCTGAGTACAAATTTGGTCGTGAAACTACTATATCAGAATTTTTATATATTTAAACATAAAAATATATTATCGTGTTCTGGATGTTATATCGCACATTTAAATATTGTTTTTATCCAATAGTATATACGTTAACTTAATGTACTTCTCTTCTTTATTTTGGATTGCTCTGAAATGACCGTCTCGTTCCAAGAAATCATTACAATTTAGTTGATTTTAGTATGTAATCAGTTACCTTCAGTTAATTGCTAAAATCCGTTTCTATTTGACTTAATTTTAAACTTGAAAATTGAATCGTATTGGCTGAAAATTCACCGGTCATAGATGTATTCATAATCCATCTACTTCAGTACCATTAACTACCACTGAATTGTTAGTAGAATAACGAATAATCGTAGTTGTTGAACAACTAATTGTTTTAAAGTTTTCGGAATATGTGCGAATGTTTTACACGTTTGATTTTATTTTCAAGCTATTTTTTCTTTGACCACACGATATTAATTTCTTTATTGCGTTCAATATTATGAGCCAACCAATTTTCAATTGATTTGTTTAATTTGAAACTGCCATAAGCACCAGCATTTCTGTCAATAACCGAGTTTCTTATTGATCCACCGTACGACATTACCAACTTTTCAAAGGATATTGTACAGGGATGTCCAGAAGTACGGAATAAAATTCATATCTTTTGAATGAGTTATTTTTTTTAAAACGCCGAAACACGTTAACTGATTTTGATTTTTTCCCCATGTTTCGGTTATATAATAATTAATTTTTCTTCAACCCCCTAACCCCAACTACCCCTACTTTTTTTTTTCAAATGGAAACATAAGGCATGAGGGGGCTTGTTGAAAAGCTTATAGAAAACCGAATCCAACCATACCAAATAATCAAGTTTTATTTTTTCAATAGCAAGGTTTTTAGGGTTATATAAAACACCTACTTAACAAGTGAAATAAAATTTAATTATCTTCAGTGTTATCCTCCATGAATTTGCACAGAATAAAATAAAGAATTTGAAACTGTACCTATCACTGCTAACGCAAAAAAGATATATTTTTTATGTTGCGTTTTTTTGGCACCACTTACTTGCCAGGCTTTCTGGTTAATTTTTCGCTTTAGTTGTAAATTGGAGTTCGAAACGTTACTATTGTGTCAAAATCAAGTTATTTACTGAATTGCAATGGTATTGTCGGAAAGGCAACGCATCGAAATCTTGATATTGCTTGGATGTGGAGACAAAATAAGAAGTCAGGCTGAAGTGCGCGATTTATTTAATGCGAAATATCCCGAAAACCAAATCTCGCAAGGGACAGTTAGTAAAATATTTCACAAATTTGAGGAACACGGTACAGTACAGACTTTGCCCAAAACTGGACGGGCACGTGCTTTGAATGAAGAAAAGAAATTAGACATTGCATTAGAACTTGTTGAAAATCCTCATACTTCAACTGTTTCATTGGCCCGCAATCACGATGCTTCTCGAACTGCAATTCGAATGTTTCTGAAACAAGAGAAATACCACCCCTATAAGGTATGTCTTGTCCAAGAGCTTTTGGAAGACGATTATGATAGGCGATTACAATTTTGTGAGGAAATGATGAGACGGTGTGACGACAATAATGGTTTTCAACGAGACGTACTTTTTTCGGATGAAGCTACGTTTTATTTAAATGGAGTGGTTAACAGGCACAACTATCGCTTTTGGTCCCAGGAAAATCCACACTGGACATGCGAATCGCATACGCAGCATCCACAAAAAGTTAATGTATGGGCAGGTATCATCAACAACAGAATCTTGGGCCCATTCTTTTTTGAAGAAAATCTTACTGCCGCACGCTACCTGGATTTCCTAACATTTGACCTGATACCTGCTCTAGCTGTGATTTTCCCTCATGAAATTGATCCAGATATACCGAATGAAAGAATTTGGTTCCAACAAGATGGCGCTCCCCCACATTTTGGTATTGATGTTCGAAGATACTTAGATGAAATGTTTCCAAATCGCTGGATTGGTAGACGGGGTACAGTTGAATGGCCGCCAAGATCCCCCGACTTAACACCCCTGGATTATTTTCTTTGGGGATATTTGAAAGAAAGAGTCTACCAGGACAGACCGGATAATATTGAGAATTTAAAGAACAAGATTAGGGCGGAGATGCATAATTTACCAGCTGAAGTCATTCAGAATGCTGTGGACAGCTTTTACTATCGTCTTGGAGAATGCCAAATAGTGAATGGAGGACATTTTCAGCATTTGCAACATTGAATTTATTTTTGTAAATTATCTAGTTGTTTCAATTTCTAAATGAAAAAAAACTTGTTATTGAAAAAATAAAACTTGTTTATTTGGTATCTGGATTCGGTTTTCTATAAGCTTTTCAACGAGCCCCCTCATGCCTTATGTTTCCATTTGAAAAAAAAAGTAGGGGTAGCTGGGGGTTGGGAGGTTGAAGAAAAATTAATTATTATATAACCGAAAAATGGGAAAAAATCAAAATCAGTTAATGTGCTTCGGCGTTTTAAAATAAATTAACTCATTCAAAAGATATGAATATTATTCCGTACTTCTGGCCATCCCTGTATATATATTCTATTCTTCCAAATGTATACAAACGAACGTAAATTTTTGCAAAAGATCAATCATCAGAACCTGTCATATATTTTAAAACATTATCGATAAAGGAATTATTCATATGGACAACTGTACCACAGATACACGTTTGTTCATTTTTTAATAAAAATGTAGAACCATACATTAATTCTATTTATACATTAATGAGACTTATGCAAGCGCTAGTCTTTGTATTTATAGAAAGCTTATCAATGAGACTGCATTTCGCTTGCCTGCTTTTACTGACCCAGGATTTGCAATGCGGATATTCAATTTTATGTTGCAGATATGTTTTTTTCTACAAAAGGTCCTGCATTTCTGTAACTCTTGCTGATACTCATGCTCTCATTTTCTAAACATAACCTAACCCTGTTAGTATTTCCAGTTTAATCAGCAATTGTAGGGAAGACTACCACAGTAAAACTTCTTTTGCCATCTGGACCTCAATTATACTGCTTCAGCTTCTGTATCTGGAGTCACTACTAAAACTTATTCCTATTTCCAATTCATTGCAGTGCAATACAGGGCACTGCTTGTCAACTTCTACTCGATTCTCGAAACTTTGACCTAGAACGCTGCTCGGGACTTTTTGTAGATTCTATCCATTAAATACGGAAAAAATTACAACCTTTTATATTTACGATTTATAACATTTTTTTGGCTGAATATTGATGTACAATTTGTTAACGGTTACACTGAAATTTAAAAAGATTTAATGTTTATGTCCTTAACATGCCACACCATTAAAAAGGGTGTTCCTTTAACATACCTAAAGCATATTAATTTTCTGAGTGATGAATGTTTGACAAAAATTTGTTTACTTCGTTTGGAATTTCAATTTCTTATATAAAGGAAGCAGCTACATTCATTTAACTGTTGAATATCAAATGTCAATACAATCGAAAAGGAAATATTTAAAATCGATAGCAGAGAGGTACCGGGGGCAAACATTTTTAGGAATTAATTTGGTAAAATATTAACCAGATTCCTCAATAAAAATGTAAACTTCTATGAAATTTACCAACGATTTGCTAACGAGACTATCTTTCTAAAAATATATTCACTTATTCCATCACATCTGTATTACCAGTAATGCAATATTTTCTATTATAATATCATTACCTACATCTATAAAAACTCAAAAAAATAATATTCTATTCTATCCATTATTTCATGCAGCATAGTAAGCTATAACTCTATTAAATAAATGTAATAAAGTATTTAAATATCATTCTTATGAATAAAATTTGAGGTAGATAACCTCGAGCGTATATAAATATGAACATTTATTGCTATTGTTTGGAGGAAGATATGTATGTTTTTGCAAATAAATTTGCGGAATAGGTGGACATATAATTTTATGGAATAAAAGGACAAACAAGCACTGAACCGAATGACTTCTAACATATAGACAATTCCACCACATAGCACTGTAATAAATTTAATGCCAATAGCTGTGTTTTCAACAAAAGACAGCTAATTCAACGGAGTTTATTTATTTTCGTTCTGAAATACGTTAGTATTATTTTGCGGTACTACAATAAACAAGAGATATTATAGGCATTTGGTAAATTATTATATTTTATCTACGTAGAGTACTCTAAATGTCATATTGAAAGCGTTATTACTTACATTGTTTAGTATATTTGGAAACCCAATTTGTAATATCCAAATGTCCCTTTCTTCTACGTATAAAAAAATTATAGAAAAATTATTTATTGAATATTACTAATAACAGTTACAACTGATATTTAAAAATTATTATTCTGTACTTGAATTTATGAATCATTACTATTTATTGTTGCAGGTCATAAATATTGTGTTGGCGACTATCCTCATGCAGGCACTGAAGAAGGAAGAGGAACAGGCCGAAACTTACAGGAAATAGTCCTTGTAATTGCAAAAAATATATAAATTGTGTGTATTAAAGTAGTATTAACGTTTTATACAAATTACCTACTCTTAATTTTTTCCTACTTGCAATTGCATTCCTTCTAAATGATTTGTCAAAAACAAAAAATCTGGATTTCCTAAACTAGGTATACTTATAAAGCGAATAGTACCTTCATGTATATAACTAACAATTAAAAGGTGAAATCTGAAAATCCCATATTTTAATGCTATATTATAGTTAAATAGTACATATTAATCTTAATTATGTAATATCTATGACACTTCTGGTTGTATCTAAAAAAGTTCAATATATTTATTTACATTCATAACACAGAAACAAGTAAAATATTTTATATCTGTGTGATCGCCAAAAATCTTCATACCATTTTCTACAATGCTTTTTTTTCATGTGTCGTAGAGCTGTTATTTTAGTATATTAGTATATGTTATGTCTCACAACCTAAGGTATCATATTCCATATGTTTATTTTAAGTTTTATGATAATAAAATGACAATATTTGTAATCCGTTTTATAATGATAATAAATAGGGTTTAAGAAATTTTTTGTTTAAAAAGTTCTTCTCTACTCAGTTCCATAGGAAAATTTCCATTGAAATATTCTAAAACCTACAAAATCAGTGACTACTAGCGTTTTGTTAAGTATTGTAATATGGGTGGCAAGTTAATGTATACATTTAAAAAATATTTTTTTGTACCCAAACCGCTCATTTAGTCAAAATTCTACCAAAAACTTCCAAATGGTATAACCTATCAAGTAAAAAATAGTTGTCATTATTGCCCTAAAGAGGGAAAAGTTATGAACGGATATTATTACCATACGTCAATTTTATCTCGTCTTAAAACTCTTTTTCATTTAAAAACAAATTACGCTGATTTAGTTCCTGTCTATAAAATAGCTAAAAATAGGCACATATCTACATCAGGGAAACAAAAAGAATATATTACCAAAACAAAATTAATAATTCGGATAATCCAGCAAAGGCAGCTTGGAATATAGTAAGTGAAATTTCTAACAAAAAGAAAAATAGGAGTAATATAACGATAAAATATAATGGAGTAACAATTGAAGATCCTGCTGAGTTTGCTTCAACTTTTAATAATTTTTTCATTAATACACCAAAAAATATTGTTGTAAATCAAACTTTGTTTTTAAAACCCTTTCTCTGAAAGTGAACTATTAAATTTATTAAGAAATAAATTAAAAAATAAGAAATCCGCAGGATCAGACGACATTCCCATGTTTTTAATGAAACGTGTTTTAAAAGTTATAATGCAGCCTATAATGTATCTAGTAAACCTATCCTTTCAAACCGGTATCTTTCCCGACACTTAAAGGTGAGAAAAGTACTACCTATTTTTAAAAAAGTGATAGTTTACCATTAGAAAACTATAGACCAGTTACTTTTCCTCTCAGCTCTTCAAAGATTTTTAATATGCTTATTTAGAACGTTTATCATTTTTTTTTATTTCAAATTTGCATCCTGGCAATTTTTTTTATTTTTTATTAGTTGCAAAATGAAATATACGTCGCACGAACGTGATATAGCTATATACTATTACATATTCGAAGAGATTATGAAAAGAGCTATAAGTTAAAAAAAATCGTCAACATTTATTGAAAACCAACGGAGTTACAGTCTGTCAAAGTTGACGGCCTATTGTTAAACAAATTAGGTTGGTAGCGGCAAAAAAAAATACTGTTATAACCGGCAACCCGAGTACTTTCCCAACTAAAAATATTTTACTTGTGGAAGTATGTTAAGTGCATAAGAAATATTGTCAAAAGTCAGTGGGTCGCTTGAATTTCGGAGAGCCGTGGCGCGGCGGAAGGGTGAGAGAAGCGAACGACGGCGAGTCCGAAGAAAATAACGATAATATTCATAGTCCTGCCGTTAAATAAGCGAAATTCGCTTGAAAATAATTAACGTTGTGTAACTCCGTTGTTTTTCAACGAATCTTGACGTTTTTTTTTAACTTAAAGCTCTTTTCATAAGCTTTCCGAATAATATAGCTATATCACGCTTGTGCGTCGTATATTTCATTTTGCAACTAATGCTAAAAAAATAAACAAAATTTCCAGGTTGCAAATTTGAATTAAAAATAAAATGATAGATTTCAATGTATTATTATGAAATCAACCATGAAAAAAATGAGTGCGATTGTGGAAGATGCTCGTGATCGTCCAGATTAATAATTAGTTAATTTGTTTATAAGGCCATAATTTGTAAACTATTCAACTTACCGATTCCAGAATTCGTATGAGTTATTCGGCAGTGATAAGGAATGAGAGGATTCGATGCCAAAACGTTCTGGTAATAATAACGCAGTTTATAAATGTTTAATTCAAAAGTCATAAATAAACTTCTTCTGTTTATTACTTTTGATCTAGTCAATATTTTTTGAATCTCGCGGGCTAGTCTTGTAGGTTTTTTGAAGACGAAAAGAAAAGTACTTTACTGTTTTCTCGTGGAAATGAACGGAAAAAAGTTATAAGCGAAAAACGTGAATTTACGTAAAATTATACAATTGACCACCCTGTAAACAATCTTCCCCTCATTTTCATGACTGCCGAAACAAAAAGTCGCGTGCAACTCTATATTTCCTGGCCTATATCTGTCTATCTATCTTGTAGGAGTTATAAGTTTTAAAAAACACTCTGTATAACACTAAAATTTTAGATTGAAAGCAAAAGTTCACACCCCAAAAATAATCCAAATCGATAAATACGTATTCGAGTTATTTACAAAATTCCAAAAAAATTAACGAACTTTGAGGCCACCAATGTACCTATTTTGAGTCCATGAACCTGTGGTCTTCCGTGGTACACTTTATTCTGCGACACCCTGTATAAACTAATTATATGAATGATTAGTAAGCGACACATTACATATTTATTGCTTTCAGATTTCCATAAAAAAATAAATTAATTAAATATTGTCTAAATAAGTAAATGATGATACTGCTGACTTTTTTTTACATTTATATTATATAAATTAAATTAATTTAAGTAATTGAAATTATTAAAATACTGTCAAATAGGCACCATTTCTTGCATTTAACTATAGAAAAAAACAGACGAAAACATGGGAGACCAGTTACTTTTCCTCTCAGCTCTTCAAAGATTTTTTAATATGCTTATTTAGAACGTNAACTGACAGCTGCTATACAGCTCGTTGAGAAATGAGGTTAAGTTGGTCGCTATAAGCTCCTCCCTACGTCCAATGTGTCAGAGCCAACTTCGACCACGTTTTATTTGAATGCTCGTTATATAAAAAAAATAAAACAAGATGTTTTACAACTAATATTTTTATTAAACAGATATAATATTTTTCTGCAATATTTGAAATAGTTTTTTTAAAAATAGGTACCTGACAATGCAATAACTTGTTTGGGACAATTTTCCACAATTTTTGCCTCTAGCTCTTCTTGCCCGTTTCTAAGTTGAGGAAACTGTATAGGTATTCCGTTTGGCAATAAGGTTATTCTTACATTCCCTTTGCCAATATATTTGGTTTCGAAATGGTGTTCACAAAGCCTATAATTCTTATATACATCCACAATCCTAGGCAATAAATCGAGTCTATTGCAAGTTTCTATCCACACTCGAGCACTGCAAACTAAAATAAAAATTCTCCTAAAGATATTCTCTATACTTATGCAATACCATATTAGATGAAAACATACCACATTATTTTATAAATCAAAATACTTTTTTCTGATTTACAGTTTATAGGTAGGTACTTAAAATAATAATAATAATAATTACCTTTCTAATCCTTACGTAATCTCAAACGGGTTAATTCTTCACCAGTTTTGGATGAACAATCGCGAAAAGCATAATAATAACCATGCATTTTATTGATTTCAAGTTAATTAAATAAAACCACTATCAATTAACATTATACAACACAACTCTCCACCGCCAAAAAACTATTACTCGTTTCTTCTATTTATATTTGGCGGCTCTGACAGCCACTGACAACGGACAACAACATGAGCCAATTCGCGCATACGCATACGAAAACTGTTAATGCAGAAAGCCTTGCTGTCGCCGCTTCTCGTTGGTATAGTATTCTCTGGTATAACTCCGTTGTTTTTCAACGAATCTTGACGATTTTTTTTTAACTTAAAGCTCTTTTCATAAGCTTTCCGAATAATATAGCTATATCACGCTCGTGCGTCGTATATTTCATTTTGGAACTAAGGCTAAAAAATAAACAAAATTTCCAGGTTGCAAATTAGAATTAAAAATAAAATGATAGATTTCAATGTATTATTATGAAATCTACCATGAAAAAAATCAGTGCGATTGTGGAAGATCCTCGGGATCGTCCAGACTAATAATTAGTTAATTTGTTTATAAGGCCATAATTTGTAAACTATTCAACTTACCGATTCCAGAATTCGTATGAGTTCGACAGTGATAAGGAATGAGAGGATTCGATGCCAAAACGTGCTGGTAATAATAACTCAGTTTATAAATGTTTAATTCAAAAGTCATAAATAAACTTCTTCTGTTTATTACTTTTGATCTAGTCAATATTTTTTGACTCTCGAGGGCTAGTCTTGTAGGTTTTTTGAAGAGGAAAAGAAAAGTAATTTACTGTTTTCTCGTGGAAATGAACGGAAAAAAGTTATAAGCGAAAAACGCGAATTTACGTAAAATTAACCACCCTATAAACAATCTTCCCCTCAATTTTATGACTGTGGAAACTAATATGTTATTTTACTTAATATTTAGCATCTATAGTGATAAATTCAGCTTGCCGAAACAAAAACTCAGTGCAACACTATATATCCTGGCCTATATCTGTCTATCTATCTTGTAGGAGTTATAAGTTTTAAAAAACACTCTGTATAACACCAAAATTTGTAGATTGAAAGCAAAAGTCCACACCCCAAAAATAATCAAAATCGATTAATATGTATTCCAGTTATTTACAAAATTCCAAAAAAATTAACGAACTTTGACGCCATCTAGCGGCCAAACGCAGCGATTTCGGATATAGGTGAATTAGCCTCAATGTACACTTTATTCTGAGACACCCTGTATAAACAAATTATAGCAATGATTAGTAAGCGACACATTACATATTTTTTGCTTTCAGATTTCCATAAAAAAAAATAAATTAATTAAATATTGTCAAAATAAGTGATACTGCTGACTTTTTTAACATTTATATTATATAAATTAAATTAATTTAAGTAATTGAAATTATTAAAATACTGTTAAAGAGGCACCATTTCTTGCATTTAACTATAGAAAAAAAAAGACGAAAACATGGGAGACATTTTTGTTCACAAGGTAAGTACAGTTTGGGTAATAGATATCTTTTATAAAGTGATAGCACTTACATTCCTAATAAATCCCGCTCACTGAATAATTCATGGGAACGCCTTGCTGAAATTTTGATGTTGAAAACGCATTAATATTTCTGGCGATAAAAAATGAAGGAAATTAAAAACAGCAGCATCTGCAAAACCGCGTTCTTGAATATTTCATTTTCTTAGAGTGGTGCTCCTGCCTGTTTCGCCTAAA